TTTGTTCTGCGTCATTTCGCGAAGGACGCGTGGCTCTCAGCGTGGGTCATCCACGCGGAACACATTCGTGCTATGTGATTGGCTGTTGTCTAATCCCCCTTGAGATCTGTGGTGTTAAAAATAACTCGAGACGAATTACCTATGGAATAGGGTGTATATGGGGGATGGACTCTCTGTCCCCTTTATAGTCTCTTGGTGATACCCAATGCATGCTTGGTCTTCTTCTAGCCTTTTTTAGGACGTCGACTTTCATTCAATGACACAATAGGGAACTTAAAACCACGACGAAGTTCACGACGACGACGTCTGTTGACTGGGAAAAGACTGGAACGAGAACGTCAGTTTCGGTGGGAAAAAAGGATACTTAAGATGCAATCGGTCGGTAAGTCGACGACGACGCCACTGAATGTAAACACAAATGTAAAACTGTTCGTTCGCAACAAAGTTTTCGCAATGGCGTCTTTTAAAACAATGCAAGATCTTATTTTTATAGCCGTACGTCTAATTTCAATGACGATGAATAATTTTTTGCCTTGTCTGACCTTTTCGAGTGGAAAAACACCTGCTTTCCGTACGAAGATTATTCAACTTGCAACCTGAGTGAGAAGACCGAGTCTGAGTGTCCGTCAGAGTTTAGATTTGGAAAAAGAGACATTCTGATGTGATAGCTGTTTTCCATATAAAGTTTATTTCCTCTATAATTAAGATATATGATTTGCCTTACCTAGATACGTACAAATAAATTTATCACTTCAAGGCTGTGCCCTAAGGAAATTTCGGGCTCCCAAGCATTCTAACTAAGGCGCCCAGACCTCAAAGTTGGTCGCCCGAATGAAATTTCGGGGAGCCCTTCGGGCTCCCAACCATTCCAGCTGGGGTGCCCAGGATTCCAATACATCTGATGAAGAAGTATTTTGTACGCACACGAATCTTACTGGCCTGCTTATCACCAAACTTGGTAATTTTAGCTTTTGGGTACAACAAAAACAACGCATGTTGTCTTATGAAACCCATCAAAGTTTTCGTGGCATTCAGATTTAAAACCAAAAACGTTAGCAATGCGGCCGAATTATTGTTCAGGTTTTAAAGAGGGAAAAGCAAAAATTTCAGCAGGTTTACGTAAACTTCATTAAGATGTTTGGGTCAAACATAGGAAAACTGTGCTTTTTACCAGTAAAATTAAACTTGAAAATAAATTTTCGAAAGGTGAATCAATGCGGCATGAAATATTAAGTGACGGAGTTTACGCGCCAGATCGAACTCAAGTTCCCGTGAAAAATTGCGAGAAACAGTGGGCGCGATCCATTCAACCAAAATTTCCAGAGATTTCGGTCAAAACTCAATGGATCGGTTCGGTCCAACCGGAAAAGTTTCGAAAAAACCTTTTGAGGTGGACCAATTTTCCCGGTCGGACCGGTTGGAATTTTGGTTGAATGGATCGCGCCCAGTGAAACCGCCGCGGCCCCAAGCCTATTGTTTTAATAAAAAATAAGTCATCTTTAATTTTCTTTTCTATATTATCAGTGAATCTTCTGGGATAATTGAGATTTTCGTGGATACGGTCGAAGCGTAAACCAACTCTTCTTTCCGTGTTTTTAATTTTTTTTCAAACAATAAAAACGATCAGAACGATCATATCTTTTCCTTTGATATTTCGTTATCTTATGTAAAGGGAAGAAAACAATCATAAGTTATGTTTTGGCCAAGCAGACACAACAGCCAAAACCCGTAAAAATATTAAATTTGCATACTGGTCAATACAGCAACTTCCGCTTTTATGCAAAAATAAATTACTACTCATCGCCAGCCGCGCTCTACGCCTGTCAGAAAAGTATTGACAGTTTCTCCTAAAAACTGTACCTAATAAACCATTCTATCTGAGAGAAAAAAAAGTAAGAAGCGGTACAAATCGATCCGTGCCGCTTGTCACGTTCAAAGTGATGCATTATGTTACATATGAAATCATGTAGAACGACCTTTGAACATCGACGCGCGCCCGTTTCTTTCGTTCAATATTCGTAAAAACATTTTCTGTAGGGTTAAGTAAACTCTGACTCAACAAGCCAACACTGATATGTTTAATTTTTCCACCCACTTAATAGCCTGCGAAAACATCCGTTTCTCCTCGCTCTTCGCCGCCCGGGACGTTTCGCGAGGAGGAATGTCTACGACTCAGCGGCAGAAATTCCATACTGATGACGCAAACCAATGTTTACATATAATAAATCCAGTAGTCATGGGGTTCCAAATACAAATTTGTCCAATTTTACGTGTCTTCTGGTCGATTTTGGTAAAGTGTTGTGTTCACCTGCCAACGAGCTCCAGTAAAACTCAAAAGCTTCTTCTAGAGAAGACTATATTCCACAAATATTGACTATTTTGTTAGGGATTCTTTGCGTTTACATTTGACCTTTGTGGCCTTTTGTCTTTTGTCTGTTATTGGTAAACAATAGCTAAAACAATTTAACTACTCCGTCAACCAATCAGCGCTTCTGACCGGATTCCGGACAGATTTTACGTCATCAGTATGGAATTTCTGTCGTTGAGTCGCAGACGTTCCTCCACGCGAAAGGTCCCCATCAGCATCGCTTGTTAGGAGAAAAAAGGAACCTTACGATACCTGGATTTACGAGGATAAGAAAATGCAAAGGACTTCAAAAATCGCATTAAAACAGTGGATTTATACCTGCCGAAGCTTGTGGATTGCAGGACGACGCGATTCTACTTTGCCTGGCGTCGTCCAGGACACAACGACGACGAAATTTACTGGTCGCGCTTGCGCAGTACACTGTAACTCACTTCCGGTCATTAGTTGGGGAGAGACCGGTTAGGCCGTTTTTTTGCGGGGGAATTTCATTAACTTGCGGCGGAATACATTAACTCCGATGACGTCATACATCTCATTAAGATTGGATGATGTCATAGTTTATTTTCAGTAGGCAAGGAGCAAGTGACGTCAGAATATCCTAGGTTGACGTCATCAAAAAATGTTGAGACTCATTATCCATAAATAAAAAAGTGATTTTTTTGACATAATCATCTATTTATTGTCTTGTGTTTGGCAAATTTTGAAGTGCTATCTTTGCAGATTATACTAACTGAAAAATCTTTAATCATTAAATTATTTTCACTCAAAATCGGTTATAAACAAAACCAACACACAGAGGTTAACTAAAAAATCTCTACTTCAAAAGAAGGAAAAAGCAGATTAGGCGAATGCGAAATCGTACTAATTTTTCGGGCAAATCATGAAAACGAGGTTGAAGCGCAGCGAAACGAAAAACTGCCTATCAAGCAAAAATGTCAACCTTTGTTTACCTGACTCTGTAGAAATTATTGCACAGGGTATAAAGATTCTATAAAAAAACAACAGGTGGTTCTAAAGTAAACCTTAACTCTTTTGGTTCTAAAATAAACTCCATTCTACTTTACTAAAAAAATAGGAATAAGAAGTGTAATCGCCTAGCAACACATGTCTTCTTATTTAGCGCTTAAAATCGGATATATAAACAACACACATACACACAAATACACAAAGTGGAGCTGAAAACTCTCTATTTCAATTTTGACTCACCATTACAAAAGCGTTCTCTCCGTTCTATCTCGAGGAAACGACTAACTATTGAAGCGCTTGATGAGCTTACGGTCTTGCCAATTCACGCGCCGGTAGTCAGTTAATTATGCGGGTTAACAAGCCCACAATTGCATACAAATTGGCTCCACAGTAAAAACCCCAAGGGAGAAACTTGACTTATTGTCATAAAAACGCAAAGAATTAATAGCTTAACAAGGATCAATTAAAACACGCGACAAATAAGTTGACAAACACGAGATACAGTTTTAAAAACTTTATTGAAAACCAGTGACAAAAAGGGTCAAATACACAGCGATTTAAAAGGGATAGAAATTAATCCTCTTCTTCGTTCTCCTCTTTAGAAGGGGAATAAAAATTGGTTTCCAACGTCTTGGCGTTTTTGTGTGTAATTGCTCCAACAATCGTGACACCGAAGAAAGCCCTATTTGATGTAATTTCTCTGACTCCTAGAGGATCTGGTGATCGCATATAGTAGAAATTTTGTAGTAATCGTGCAAAAGCATTTAGGACATTTCATGATCAATGTCCCGTACACATGAGAGTTCTCGCAATGTTCACAGATATTTTCAGAGTGAATGGTGGTGGACGTTTCAGGGCTACTATTTTCTGTTTCCTCACTATCGTTTTCAGTGTCGTTGTCGCTTCCTTGGGTGTCTTCATCTTTACTGGCATTCACGGAAGCTATCTCCTCCCCCTCTTCCTCTCTATCCGATGAACTTTCTACATTGCTCTCCTTCTCGAAAGTACTTTCGTTATTTCGGTAGTCTTTTTCTTTTTCTATTAAATCGCTTAGCAACTTTTTGATCGTGATTAAACACTTATCGATTCCTAACTCCGCAAGTCCATCTAGAAACGCATTCAGCGCACGAGGTTTGGTTACGTCATCGTTACGAGGTAGTAATTAACACATACTCAAGTAGCTCGGCGATGTTTGTGACGAGAATTATACGTTTATTTCGAAGTAATTGTCCGCGGGGAGTCCAGAATAAAATATCTTTGGAAGCGGCCATTCAGAAGCACGCTTTACCGAAACCGCTTGGGAAAGATGATTCAAAACATCTTTTATTCTTGGTTCTTCATCCTCGCCTTCATCACTAGAACTTTCGTTTTCCTCATCCTCGCTCTCGTGCTCTTCATCAACCAACTATCTTTCTCTTCATCGCAATAAGTACAGACAACGCGTTCCAAACTAAAATGTGTTTTTCCAAACTTCAAAATTCCGTCAGAAAACCTAACTTCCCTCGGGAAAAAACACGATTTCCGCCAAAAGGTTATTATTATGACTTCACTCTTACAAGAAGCCAGAGTAACAGGGGCACCCAACGAGAATATAGTTCAAAACCGATTAAACATAGCATTGTTAAACATATCTTAGTATTTAAACGGTAGATATAGGCATATTTTTATCCCCCCCAAATTTTTCATCGGGTCGGATTTCCTAGCTGAAAGTCTAGTGATCCAAAAATTATAGGGATCGAAATTTACCTTTTCGAAAATTTCAGCCAGAAAAAAGGCTCCCGAAAATTCTAGGTGACCTTTTTAGGGTAAAAATCCGTTAACAATGGGCAATTATACCATTTTTTAGATGTTCGAAAATCCTAGGAGAGGCAGGCGAGCAAGAAATTTTACAACAAATGTTCCGAAAATTCTAGATCTCAAATCGTCTTCCGAACAGATATTTTCCGAAAATTGACGTTGGGTGCCCCTAGAGTAATACCCTTCTAATACACAGTAAACACAACGGAGTCATTGTTGTTGAAATAACCCATATTTATTTTGAGTAGAGTTTTACACTAAAAATCTACAGTTAGAAATGACGATAATGTACGAAGTCAAAAAAAGGCCTAAAATATTGCAGTGCGAAAACAGTGTTGTCTTATTAAGGACTAATTACTGCAGAAAAAATCAAAGAAAGTAATTGTAACAAATATGAATGATGCAGAAATTCTGCATTTTAACCTGGAGTTTACATGCAAAAATTCTGCATAGCCATTTTCCCGCTAAATTCATTACAAAATCAACAACAAAAAATGGATCATGCAGAAATTCTGCATTTGAACTTAGAAATCTAGATGCAAAAATTTTGCATTTCCATATTTCTGCTAAATTCATTAAAAAATCAACAACAAAAACTTTAGCCTGCGAAAACAGCCGTCTCTACTAAATTTATCTTTTTTGCTTTGTGTTACTTTGTATTTTAGGGCAATTTTCCAAGTACAAGCCCCAAAGGGGCTTATATTTGCAGGGGTGGTTTAACGAAAGTTTTTATTTTTCTTGCATTACCAGCTTGGGGGGCTTATATCATTTTTGGAAGGGCTTATACACGGAGGGGCTTATTTTCGGAATTTTACGGTGTGTATTTCTAGCTTCAGCTAAAAACACATCTGAAACAACGCTGCCCATCTGACAAGACAGATGGCATCACTCCCATTCCCATTCGAAGAGCTAGGTCTGAATAGTTAAACATAAAATTTGGATTTTTCTTTCCTAAGTATCATATCTTTTTTCCATGTTTATGAACTAGCATACTTTGGTAATGTTTTCTGATATTTATAATTGCATCTCAAAATACATTGTACCCAAAACTCTCAGGTTTTTTTGGTTTGTTCCCTGAAACTTTTGCCATTAACTACAAGCGTATTTCTTAAAGGGTACCTGAGACCTATTTTCAGTTTAACTGTGTTAAATGTGTCTGGTTTTTTTTTGCTGGTAAATATACTGTATGCAAAGATAATTTATTGAAAAAATTTAACGTGCATTTGACAGTTATTAAAGGAATATTATTATGTTATGTCATTTGATTTTCACATGTTGTTTTTGTTACTGGGCTTTATTGACATTTGTTTTTGTTTTTATTCTTTTTCCTAGACAGAAATGCAAGAGGCAATGCAAAATTGCATTCAAAATAAGTAAAGAGTTCATTTCCTTTGTGCCGGATGCTCTTTATAACATAACAGCGTGGCTGGTTTGTTATGCAGAGCAGCTGCATGATCACACACAGCCAAAGTGCTACAAGTGTATTGTAATGCTTCAGGGAAGTGTGGGATGTTTTATCAGAATTATTCTTACTTGCCATGGGAAGGTTCTGTTGTAATTTTCAAGGTACAGCTATGGTTTTTTAATTGAGCTGTCAGACTTAAAATGATTAGCCCTTACTTGTGGGCTTGCCAGACTATGTACAATTTTTTGAAAAGAACAATAGTAAAACAGGGCTGTCATTAAGAGGCGGGGTCGGGGATTTCCCCCGGATACTTTCATAGGAAAATAGACGAAAAATTGAACCAAAACCCTACTTGTTGTATTTAGCCGGCAATTCGAAATCTTAGTAACAACCCTGGCCTTTTATGTATGTTAAATTTTAAAAATCTTGTTTTTCTTCCTTTCTTTTTTTTTCTTCTCAGAGTCATTCAAGTGATAAACCTACAGTCCCAGACAAAAATACAGCTGTAGTTGGGACACTTAAAGCAAACACTGTTTTTTCCCTTCTTGTGCTTTCCTTTTCCCTCCCAATGCTGCTAAGGTATTATCCAATCTTTTAAGATTATGTCACAATTTTCACAACTCTGCAGATGTCACTATAGTTACTAGAGAAACTACTGAGTCATTTTTTAACTTTTATAAAAAGAAAAATCTTCAGAGTCAGTAATTATTTGCGTTTTTAAGAACGAATATATTTCAGTCTCATTTTAACTATTTCAGTGATTCAATAAGTTTTTAAGAACGACTATATATCAATAATTATGTGAAGTTCAAGTAGTATTTTTACTGTATCAGTTAACAAGACATCTGACTTATTATAATTTATTTTCACTACAGAAGCAACTTTAGGTTTTCATTTTTTCACAAACATATTTTTTTTTTTACTTATCATTATTTTTGGAGAGAAAATTACACATTAAACTCATTCAAGGAATTCCTTTGATTGTTTTTTCCTTTGTTTCCCCCTGAGTATCTCCGTTATTACAGTATTTATTCGAATAAGCGCCCAACCTCGAATTAGCGCCCACCTCGAATAAGCGCCCATCCTAAAAGCAGAAAAAGTTAATAAGCGCCCAGCCTCGAATAAGCGCCCGCCTCCTCCTCCTCCCTATGAAACTCACCCCTACCCACCCACTTGAGTAAATAAATTCTAATAAGAGACTTTCCCGAGGACACAGTTTTCTTCAGAGTATTTTACAGAAACCTTGCTTTGTTACTTCTTCACGTTTTGCTATTAGCATTTATTTTTTTGTTGCAGATTGAACATACTTCACTTGCTGAAAATGGTGAAAATTTAATAAGCGCCCAGCCTCGAATAAGCGCCCACCTGGAATAAGCGCCCACTCTCACGGTCCAAAAATTTAATAAGCGCCCAGGGAGGTTAATCGAATAAATACGGTATTCATTTATTTTATTTTATTTCATTCATTCTATCATTTATTTTATTTCATTTTATTATAATTATAATTATTAATTAATTATTTTTTTCTCCTTTTTTCCTCCTCTCTCTTCCTTATTTTCAACTTTCCAAGAGGTTGACATGACTGCTTTGCAGTTTGCCGGTCCCTCTTTTTCCCTTTCATCTTCCTATCATCCTTCTTATTATCTTTTACCTTCTAACCCCTCATCCTCTTACACTTATCCTAACTCTATTTTGAGGTTGACATAGAGCTGTTTGACAGTTTGCCAGTCACTCAATACTAATTCTTTCAATTTTTCAACTAATTTATTTTATTTAATCCTATCCTTATTAGAATTTCAGTTATTTATTACTATTAGCTAAATAAATTTTTGCACTTCTTTGAGATAGACATAGCTGCTTTGCAGCTTGCCTGTCCCTCATTATCAGTGCTAATCTTAACATCTTACTTTTTTGTTCTGTTTTTATACACACAACACCCCTGTATACACACATCCTCCCTCCCGCTTACCCACTATTTTAGTGGAGACTTGGGAACCCTTTCATTAGGGATTGCATACCACACCTGTAATGCCACAAAGGTTGCTAGATATATCCACTGTTCTCTTTTTTTTTTTTTTTTTTTTTACCAAATATCTCAAAATACATTGTACCCAAAACTCTCAGGTTTTTTTGGTTTGTTCCCTGAAACTTTTGCCATTAACTACAAGCGTATTTCTTAAAGGGTACCTGAGACCTATTTTCAGTTTAACTGTGTTAAATGTGTCTGGTTTTTTTTTGCTGGTAAATATACTGTATGCAAAGATAATTTATTGAAAAAATTTAACGTGCATTTGACAATTATTAAAGGAATATTATTATGTTATGTCATTTGATTTTCACATGTTGTTTTTGTTACTGGGCTTTATTGACATTTGTTTTTGTTTTTATTCTTTTTCCTAGACAGAAATGCAAGAGGCAATGCAAAATTGCATTCAAAATAAGTAAAGAGTTCATTTCCTTTGTGCCGGATGCTCTTTATAACATAACAGCGTGGCTGGTTTGTTATGCAGAGCAGCTGCATGATCACACACAGCCAAAGTGCTACAAGTGTATTGTAATGCTTCAGGGAAGTGTGGGATGTTTTATCAGAATTATTCTTACTTGCCATGGGAAGGTTCTGTTGTAATTTTCAAGGTACAGCTATGGTTTTTTAATTGAGCTGTCAGACTTAAAATGATTAGCCCTTACTTGTGGGCTTGCCAGACTATGTACAATTTTTTGAAAAGAACAATAGTAAAACAGGGCTGTCATTAAGAGGCGGGGTCGGGGATTTCCCCCGGATACTTTCATAGGAAAATAGACGAAAAATTGAACCAAAACCCTACTTGTTGTATTTAGCCGGCAATTCGAAATCTTAGTAACAACCCTGGCCTTTTATGTATGTTAAATTTTAAAAATCTTGTTTTTCTTCCTTTCTTTTTTTTTCTTCTCAGAGTCATTCAAGTGATAAACCTACAGTCCCAGACAAAAATACAGCTGTAGTTGGGACACTTAAAGCAAACACTGTTTTTTCCCTTCTTGTGCTTTCCTTTTCCCTCCCAATGCTGCTAAGGTATTATCCAATCTTTTAAGATTATGTCACAATTTTCACAACTCTGCAGATGTCACTATAGTTACTAGAGAAACTACTGAGTCATTTTTTAACTTTTATAAAAAGAAAAATCTTCAGAGTCAGTAATTATTTGCGTTTTTAAGAACGAATA